AAAAGGTCAATTCGCGATTGCACTTCCCCAAGTTCCGTGCGAGTCGTTCATAGTCTCCGTGCCTTTCTCGATTGTTCTCTGACTTCTCCCTTTAATGTTTCGTTATTTCCTAGGCAGTCTCCAAATATATATATATATATATATATATATATACACACTCCGTATATGTCTCTCAAGTCTAACCAGTAACCACAACCCAATGTAGATTAGAATATGAAGGCTTTGACAATGGGAGAGGAAAAAGGCAGCGTCTAGATTAGAATATTTTAGATGATGTCTTGTTTTTCAATTGGATTTTGTAATGTTATGCACTTATGCTCATCCTATCTATTTTTGTTTACTTATGTTTTGACTTTTGGTACACCGAACCGAATACATGGTACACCGTACCACTTTGTAGCGAAATGAACCTACCCCCCTTCGTACCGAATTCGTTACATCTAGCGAATTTCGTACCCGCACCGCGTACCCGTACCGAAGCGTACCGCGATTTATGTGACTATGGCCTCCACCGTGAACTTCATCTATAAGAGTTTCGCGAACGCTGCACTTTGGAATGCACAATTGATTACCACGGAATAGGTAACCATCTTTGATGAGGAATTCAACACAGGGCCGTGTGAGACACTTAGTGAATGCGTTCTTGAAATCTTCATCTTCCTTATATAGTTCCTGTAAAAACTCAAAACCAACGAGTTTGGTACTAAGTACCGTTAGTAATAAATGTCTTCGGGACAAGGCATCGGCGCCCTTGTTCATGGTTCCATTTTTGTGCTTGATGGTGAAGGTGAAGGTTTGAATGTATTCGACCCATTTGGCATGACAGGGCTGAAGTTTATGCTGCCCTTGGATGTATTTTAATACCTCATGATCGGAGTGAAGAATAAATTCTTTACTCACAAGGTAGTGACGCCAATGTTCAAGGGATCGCACCAAAGCATAGAATTCCTTGTCGTACGTAGAATACCGCCTTCTAGTGTCATTTAGCTTTTCGCTAAAATATGACACCGGATGTCCCTCTTGAGATAGAACAGCCCCTATGCCAACACTCGAGGCATCGCATTCAACTTCAAATAGCTTTTCAAAGCTAGGGAGAGCTAACACGGGAGCATGTGTTAACCTTTCTTTGATTGTTTCAAAGGATTGTTGGGCTTTAGAATTCCACTCGAACTTCTGATTTTTGGTTAAGTCCGTGAGTGGTGCGGTAATGGTGCTGAAATCCCTTACAAACCTCCGATAGAAAGAAGCAAGTCCATGAAAGCTTCTAACTTGCTGCATTGACGTGGGTACGGGCCAATCCCTTATGGCTTGAGTTTTCTTTTTGTCGACTTTGATTCCTTCACTTGAGATATAATATCCCAAGAACTCCTTTTCTTGATAAAAGAATTGGCTTTTCTCAAGGTTTCCATACAGCTTTTCTTCGTCTAATTTCTTAACCACCAAAGTGAGGTGATTAACATGGTCCTCTTCATTTCGACTATAGATCAGAATGTCGTCAAAGTAGACAACGACAAAATGACCTATGAATGGCTTCAAGACTTGGTTCATGAGTCTCATGAACGTACTTGGTGCATTGGTTAATCCAAATGGCATGACCAGCCACACGTATAACCCAAACTTGGTTTTGAACGCCGTTTTCCATTCATCTCCTTCAAAGATTCGAATCTGGTGATAACCACTTCTAAGATCAATCTTAGAAAAGATCTTCGAACCATGGAGCTCATCTAGCACGTCTTCAAGCCCAGGTATTGGATACCTATACTTGATGGTGATCTTGTTTATCGAGCGGCTATCACAACACATACGCCAAGTGCCATTTTTCTTTGGTACCAAGAGAGCCGGAACAGCACATGGACTCAAGCTTTCCCTTACAAATCCTTTGGCTAGCAACTCATCAACTTGCCTTTGGATTTCCTTAGTCTCCTCAGGATTCATTCGGTAAGCTGGTTTGTTAGGTAAGGCAGCCCCCGGGATGAGATCAATCTTGTGTTGGATGTCCCTTTTAGGAGGAAGGCCGTGAGGAACATCTTCGGGGAAGACATGAGAAAATTGTTCAAGGATCAGTTTGGCTAATGGATGAGGAGGTGAAGGTGAGGGCAGGGGTTCGGTTTCAGTTTCTCCAAAAAGGATCAGTTCCTTTTGGCTTTTAAATTCATGATGCTCCGCTTGTAATATGGTGGAGAGGAGGCAGGGGGGTTCTTCTTTTGGAGAGGAGGGGGCCGTGGGTGAGGAAGGTGGGAGAGGAGTGAGGGTGACCTTCTTTTTGTTGATAATGAACGAATATGTGTTAGCATATCCGTCATGGAACACCCTTCGATCAAATAACCAAGGACGACCCAAGAGGATATGGCAAGCGTCCATTGGAATGATGTCACACCAGATTTCATCGGAATAAGTTTTTCCGATACTTAAGGAAACCAAACTCCGAGAATCCACACGTAACCCTTTCCCATGATTCAACCATTGAATCATGTATGGTTTTGGGTGTGGTGCGGTCTTGAGTTTCAACTTTTCTACCATCGTTTTGGATGCCACGTTGGGGCAACTTCCGCTGTCCACAATTAGAGAACACACCTTCTTTTGAATCGTACAACGGGTGTGGAAAATGTTTTCCCGTTGTAATTGATCAGCGGGACTAGCCATGCTACTTAAGGTCCTACGGATGACCAAGAGTTCTCCTTCGTCCGCTCCGATACATTCTTCTTCTTCAAATTCTTCTTCTTCAAATTCTTCTTCAGCCCACGAGGGACTGATTTCTTCTTCTTCATACTCAACAATAGCCATTATCTTCTTATTAGGGCATTCATTGGCATAATTACCAATGCCTTGACAACGGAAACACTTGGGAGCTTGAGTACTCGTTTGGTTTGTTTTGTAAGGGGGTGGGTTGGAAGAAGAGGGGCTGGAATTAGGCTTTGAAGTAGAGTTTTGGGCAGAAGGTGATGGGGCTGTTTTTGTGGTGGCAAAGGGTGATTTGGAGAAAGGGGATGGGCGAACTAAGGGGGTTTTGTTCCTCTTAAGTTGAGACTCAACTTTAAGAGCTAATTTGGAGAGTTCTTCAAATGTATCATAGGGCTGTAATTCCACAACGTTATCTATTTGGGTGTTTAGTCCAAATAGATATTGGACTAACGTTTGAGAATCATTCTCTTGAAGATCACATCTCATCAAGAGCTCTTCAAACTCCCAGGTATAGTCCTCAACAGACCGGGTACCTTGCCTTAAGTATTGAAGCTTAGCAAAGTTATCTCGTACGTATTGTTCGGGTAAGAACTTTTTCTTCAACAAGCTCTGCATTTTGAGCCAAGTTTTCACCGGAGCCTTGTTTTCACGCCTTCTTTTGGTGGAAAGATTGGACCACCAAGTGGAAGCATACTTTCGGAACTTCAACGCCACGATCTTGACTTTCTTATCTTCGGGCACATCTTTGAAATCAAAGACGCGCTCAACGGTCTAGAATTTAATTAAGATATAACACACTTAATTAAATATCTAGAACCTAAAACTCACACCTAAGGTAACCACCCTTAAGATATAGAATTAGGAATTTAAACAAAGAATACAACAAGTGTATTATTTGATAGAAATGAGATCACCAAACTGTTTTTTTTTACCAAGGCCTATGGCCGAATATATACATACATGCACAAGGAATACAGCCACTCATAATCCTATCACAAATCAAGAAAATAATGTCCATTTGTCGTATGTCCTTAGTGGAATGATTTAAGGGGAATAAGGATCTTGTTTGGCTTGGTTTAAGGGCTGTCTCATTCAACCATATATGGGAGGATCATCACAAGATGTTATGATTGATTAAAGTGATTTCTTTTGACTTATTTTGAGGAATAGTTCGACCATATGATAAGGGACAGAGTGGAATATTAAGTGGCAGGTTTTGGATGATTATACATTATGAATTTTGTCATCTTGTGTGTGATTTCAAGAAAGGTGATATGGAGATTATAAAAGTTGATTTCCTTGGTTTTATTGGATGGCCTAGCTCGGCTTTTATTGAAGGAAAGAAAGGGGAATGACTCTCTTTGTTTAACTGTTCACCTTTTGACTTAAAATGGAAGGGATTTTGGCCAGATTATGGGGTGGGTTTTAAGTGTTTATTTTAGTCAAAAACATGATAATTTTGTTGAAAAAACAGAGGGATTTTCGGGATTCCATATTAGTAACCCGGGACACACACACACACACACACACACACACACACACATACATACATACATACATACATACATTCAGGTTTCACCTCTTGTGCATTTATAATACTAATATACATCCCATATGAATATGGGTTATATATTATTTCATGATAATTATTTATAGAGGATAGTGATAAAGAAAAGAAATGGTGGAAGTTGGAACCATTGAAAGATGAGTTTGATTGTAGCAAGGTTGGCTGCATTGTTTGGGTCCAGAATGGGTAATGGCGATTGCAATACATTGAATCTACTAATCCCTCTGTTTAAAAAAATTCCGCTTTTGTTTTTTCGTGCAAAACTCATCTTTTTTAAAATGATTTTGTTTACAAATTGGGATATAAATAAAAAAGTAAAACTTACATATTTAGAAAACTATATCAAAAGTTCTACATAATAAGTGATGCCAAGAATATTTTATTTTATCAAATAATCAATGAAAAAACACAAATAAACAAAAGTTATCGAGAGACAAGTGTTTTTTTGAAATGGTGGGAGTATATAATATGGAGTGTGAATGAAGATACGAAAGAAACTATGATGTGAGATTGCATATTAATGACAGAAACCCCAACACAACTACTCTAGGACCTATTCTTGGGATGTCTAACAACAGTTATCAGCATATACACTACGATAATATTAATTGTAAATTTGTAATTAAGGGCTCATCAGCTTGGCGGCTTGGTACATAATGCCTTCATTATATACCACATTAACCAAGTAAAAACTAAAGAGTACGCTGCAAATTGTAAAATGGAATTTAATGCAGTTATTGTGAGTCTATACCTCGGGGATGTTGTGCAGTGCAATAGCAAAGGCCAGGTTTATACCAACTCGAAGTCCCTACAAGAGTATGATAATAAAACAAATTTAAATTTGCATAGAACTGAGAAGACAAAAGATATCAATCAAACAATCCATTGTAGAGGTCAGAGTCATTAGTCATAGCTTTAAATTACCCTTAACAAAGCATGAAAAAACAACACAACCACAAAGCCAGTAAAATCCGAGAGTGTGGGGTATGGGGAGGGTGAACCTTGCCCCTACTAGGAAAGTACAGACTCTGTTTGAAGAGATCCCTGACTCAAAACTACATGGTTACAGAAAAGAAAACAAGGAAATGAAAGAAAAAAGGCAAATGAAAAGGCAAAGAAGAGCACAACAAAAGCAAACATACACGTACATAACAAAATAAGACGGTAAATTCTACACAAAACCTTGATTAACTCCTGAACTAAAAAACCTAACCTACCAAAAGCTTCTTAGGTCTACCAAAAACACAGCCTGCTACCCTATCCAGAAGCTTTTGTCTAACATCACATCCTTGGTTAACTCCTAAACCCGTAAGTCCAGTCTAATCACCTTGCTCCATCTCATCTTATGTGAGTTAGGTCTACCCCTAACCCGTCCTCACGACCCCGACCTCCAGCCTCTCGCACCTCCTCACTGGAGCATTCGTACTTTTCCTAAGCACCTGCCCAAGCCATCTCAATCCTACTTTACGTATACTATCCTCCACAGAGACCCCTCCCACCTTCCTTTGAATATCTCTGCATTCCGGACCCTGTTAATCCTTGTATCACCACACATCCATCTCAGCATCATCATCTTTTCCACTTCGAGCTTATGAACATGGGCATTCTTCATCGCCTGCCCGGTAGAACTTCCCTTTCATTTCCATTGATACCTTCTTGTCGCATAGGATACCCGAAGCAAGCTTCCACTTCACCCAAGCCGCTCCAATACGAAGGACAACATGTCCATCAGCCTGAATTTGAGCCCCAAAGATTGGATCCAAAGGTACTGAAATTTGTCCGTTTTAGGTACCGGATGCGTATCAAATCCTATCAATCATCACTTCCACTTCCGAATTTTTGATTATACAGTACCCAAAGCATCATACTCAAAATTCACTAGCAACCCACTGTTTCCACCACCAAATATAGAACTAAAACAATATTCTAGCACGTTGAACATAGCAATTTATTTGTGTAAAAACATTTAGATCATTTTCCAGTCGATCCGTTTGGTAAATCAAATAGACCAGCCAGAAGCAATAAAAATGTTCCTAAAAATAAAATAATCAGCTAGCTACAAACTAGAATCACATTTTTCTAAAATCACAAAGCACTAACTTTGGTATAGGTACCTTCATTGATCCAAGAAAAACAGCCATTCCTTCTGGAAAGTTGTGCAAGCTTATCCCTGCAAAAGCAAAATAATAGGACTCAAAATAAGCATGTTACAAACATAAATCTCTATCCCAAGCAAAGAACAAACTCAAGAAAACCATGGAAGAACATAGACTATATGTTCTACCCGCGTACATGCAGTTTATGCATGCATTGATGTCAACAGTTGAACCCCTCTACCTTTTACATAAGGGTAAGTGTTGCGTAGACCCACCCTCCCTAGAACTCACTTGTGCACTTTTAGTGGGTCGTTGTTGTACTGGTGTCAACAGTATTGTGTATGAATTGAATATTTCATCAAGTAATTCTTTGGTATAAAATGTAACACAAACCTATTGCCGTAACAATGCCACTGAAGAGGACTTGACGGCGACGTTTTTTCATGATATCTTTGCCACCATCTTCCCTACCTTTCTGCTATCAACATTCAAGCACAGCCTCAAGTCTTGAGGAAAAAAGGTTCCAAAGTCACCATGACTCATGAATACAAGCAGTTTAATAATCAAACTCTTAGGCAGAAATAATGAAATACTTGGGTAGATAAGAAGATTTAAACCATTTTGTTCTGGCCATCTGAAATGAAAGAAAGAGTAGGTTCTGGGATGAAGCTTGAAATGAGAGCAAAGAAAGCAACACCTGCAAAGAACTGCAATGCAATATTGGATTGTCCTTTAAGGGAAACAAACACAATAATATAAACATTTAAACAAGCAAATTGGCAAAATATGCTTGAGATGATAGCTCACCCAAAGGTTTCCCCTTAAGAACCCAATGGAGTTCAAAGCATTATGAGCCAAATCTAGGAATGATATGCTCAACATAAGACCAGCAGCAAAACCCTGGACGAAGGGAAACCTATGACGTTATTTCTTTCAAGTAGATGCTAAATTCTGAATGTGATGCCATCAGAAGTTCTAAGCAAAAATTCAGAATTGTATTAGAATTCTAACTTTGATGAGACAAGTCATCATAATCTGTTTCTACAATCATTTCTTAAATGTGTTGTATGTGCAAAAACAACTCTTTGTACACCAATATCAATTACGGACACGCTCGGTAAATGTTATTTGGATGAAATGGCGGAGTCAACTGAATTTATGACAAAACAACATTTCTTGAGATCCATTTCAGTCAAATTAGCCAGTCAAAACTCAAAAGCTGTGTATTCTGCTTAGTCTAGTAATTAGAAGATGAAAGTCGAATAAGGGTACTAAAGGGAACCAAGTGGTTAAGGAAATAGAGAAACTGAAAAATAAAAGTTCATTTAAGAGAGAATCAACAATCACCTGCAAAAGACCAAGCATCTTCAAGTCAGGGGCAGGATTTATGATCACAAACAGAGCACCTATTGAGCCATTGCCCACAGATTAGAAACTGTTTTTGACAGGTAAGCAAACATTCAATGAAATCTAGGGCTAACTAATGGCTACTACAACCACTAGAAACAAGTAAACACGCAGAAACGGAGAAGCAAAATAAATCTTACCTGGCAATTAACTTTCATCCATTATGGAGAAATTTGAGTATAACAGAACATTCATTCCCTCCCATAAAAGAGTCTTGGGTTCAAAATAGCACAATATTTTTTATTTTACAGCCACTGAACATCACCAATTATCGCAATAGTATTAAATTCATTTGTCACTTTAAGTAAATTTTTCTTGGGAACAAGAGAGTAAACCATTTGGCTTTGAAATCAAAGAGAGCAGAAGGGGCAGATATTGATTAAATTAACAACTTGGAAAATTAAGGTTACAAAATCTGATTAAAAGACTGAGTAAAACATATCTAATAAGAAAACATCAAGTAACAAATTACTTCCGCATTTAGTCAAATAATTTCAACAACTGGCCATTACAGTTAATTCGAAGCTCTCATTCTGCCATTAGAGTAGCTTCCTGATAACTGTAACGCAATGGTTACTGACCTAAAGAGGTACTTAATCCACCCAACATTGAGAGACCCAGAGCGACCAAAACCTGAGACTCCATGAAATTCCTTCGGCTCCTTCTGAAAAGAAGAATTACAGACAAGAAGGATGATAGAGAAAACCCCAGATAAATTTTCTGGGTTCTTTCCTCGTTTCTCACTTGTGTTTCCTTAGAATATGTACCAAAAGTATTAAAAGAGACGAACGGAATTTAGGGTGTGTTCCTTGGATGGATTTTAAAGCAGGTAGGTATTCAATTCAGATTTTAAATGACAGTATGTAGGTGTCATTTAAAATCTGAGTGTATTCAAATCAGATTTTAAAAAATCCTTCTAAATATGATTCTATTAAAAAGTTGATAGATTTTTAAAGATTTCTAAAAGAATGGATTTTGATAGAATTTTAGGTCTGGGATATAAATACGAATCAATTCCCAAATCTCACCTAATAGTTAAAGATTTTGAAAACTCTTCACCAACTCTTGCATTCTCTCTGTCTTCTTCTCTGGCTGGTGCGGCAGGCAGTAATCCAATCAGACGAAGGGGCAACTGGGCAAGTAATACTCTGTGACCACCGAACAACGACCATGGGGGCGGCGAAATTGACTTGCAGTGGCAAAAATATTTTTACATCAAAATATTTTCCATAAAATAAAGAAAGAATTACCCAAAATAATCCTAACTTTACCCGGTCTTTCAAAAATAATCTCACTTTTCACTGTGATGCATAATAATCCTAACTTTACTGAAATTTGTCAGTTTTGGGTCGCCGTTAAGTTTCTAATGAAGGTTTAACGGAAATGCCCGTTTTAGGCAACAAAATGAAAGTTGGGATTATTTTTGATGAATTTTCATTTTTTTTTATTTTTTTAAATTTTTCATTTAAATTTTTTAAATTACTTTCTATCTCGATCATCATTTCTTTTTCCTTTTTTAAAGATTAGTCTTAGTTTAAAAATAAAATAAAAATAAAAATATACAGGTGGTTTTAATATTTTACCCATTATACAAAGTATTAACATATCACTTCTTATTTTTTAGAAAAAATTATCTACAATAATTCCAACTTTACCGGACGGCTTGTTCTTTTAAAAAATAAATAGTACATTAAGACTCCGTATATTGTATAAAATGTTAAAACCCACCACTCCATATATATTTATTTTATTTCTTACCATTTTCTGTTAAATTTCTATTGATTACATTATTTATTTGATTAATTTTGTATGGTTTTAGTTATTTTTCTCATTTTCATTATTTTTTATATCTATTTTTTTCTAAGGTAAGAGTAATCTTTAAAAAAGAAAAAGAAATGGAGGTTGAAAGTAATTCAAAAAATTTAAATAAAAATTTAAAAAAAAATTAAAAACAAAAATTCATAAAAAATAATCCCAACTTTCATTTTGTTGCCTAAAACGGGCATTTCCGTTAACCCTCCGTTAGAAATTTAACGGCGACCCAAAATTGGCAAATTTCAGTAGAGTTGGGATTATTATGCATCACAGTAAAAGGTGTGATTATTTTTGAAAGACCGGGTAAAGTTGGGATTATTTTGGGTAATTTTTCCTAAAATAAATGATTTTCCTTCAATATTTTTTAGAGTGCTTCTTTGGTACACCTTGAATACATACCATTTTTTGGATCTTCTTACATAATTTTTTTTATTAAAAAAGTAAATGGTTATTTAAGTAATAAGAAAAAATACTTATTTTGATCATATGTATTCTTGGTGGACTTTAGATCCTCTATAGAATTTGCCTATTTTCTATTACTAGTATTTTGACATGTGTGATGCACGGAGTCGAAAAAATATTTGTCATTTCTGAATTTTTTTCAATGCAATATATTAACCAGAATAAATTAAATATATTTCTAACATGAATTTTTAATCAATGGACAACAAATGCGAAAGTAGAATAAATAATATATGAAGAATTAACAGTGTACTCGAAAAAGTCATTTTTAATTCCAATGTTTTTAAAAGACTTCAAGGTACGCACCATTTTTTATATGTTTGTAAGGGTTTTCATTGTTACCTAAAACCGATATTTTGAATCACGTATTTGCCTTCACTCGTGAAATAGTAAAATAAAGTTGACCATGAATAATACCAAATTGGTTAAAAATAATATCTTAGAGTACAACAAAAGACAATATTTGACTTTGACTTTTGTTAGTAGTCATAACAAAACCTAAGACTTTCAGATGTAGTCTTAAATCAGATGCTACCAAATTCATTCATGGTATGTAAACTTAGTTCCTGACTCAACTTCCCAAAACTACAATTGCAATGGTAATGTTCGATCTTTTCACAGCTTTTCAACAATTAATCTTCTACCATTACACAATCCAGATGTTTGGTCATTGTTCTTCAATAACATAATTCGAACCCCCTTTTATACTATTTTGTGGTTTTGGATCATTGAACAACTTAATTTCATTAAAAAAAGTAATTGTTATCCAATCGTCATCAACACCTACATCTGAATCTGCTTGGCATGAAGATTCTGAATTTAAGTACTCCTTTTGACCTTGTAGAATAAGGAATTGGAGAAATTCATGTTCTCTAATAGGTTTGGATAATTGAAATCCACTATACTCTTAATAACTTGTGTCAAGAATTAAGAATTCAAACACGATTTAAACGTCAACAGTTCCATTAGTTATTTGTCGAAGTTTTCCATCTTCGATTTTGATTATCCAATCAAAATAAGTTTATGTGTCCTATTTGTGCAAGATGGTGTAGATGATGCAATCTCATGCTTTTGATCAATGTATAAACTTTACAATGCAACCATATTTTTGAGAAACCGGCGGCTACAATTTCTTCTCTCAAAGCTTTGAGTAAGTTGAAAGAATATGGATAAAATCACCTTCGAGTGCAACTATTTTTCCTCCGAACGGTTCAATTTTGGAGTTATTATTAGTGAACCTCATTACATCTCCCATTGTGTAATCTAATGCCTCATAAGCAAATCTACTCATCGTAGATGATTCATCTCATATGATTATACTTGCTTGTTAGATACTTAGATTAGTTCTACTTTCGGGCTCCCTTGTTTGATCGATGGCACACGATAAAAACTTGGTTTCCAACAAAGGGATTAAGAATATCGAGTGTGTGACCCTTCCCCTAGGCAAAAGTAATGCTACAATGCAGGTGGATGCGATATTCAAGACAACCTTAATATTTTACCTAAGAGAAACAAACAATGATTTCTAGAGAAATATTTTTTAAGTTCCACCATAACCATTCAAAAAAAGAAATTTCCTCTTTCAGCTATCACAACTTCCATTATTTCATTAGATGCATTCTTCTGATCTTTATTCATCGTAGATAAATATCTTCTAAGATCAAATAATGACTTTTTTTTTGTCATAGTTCATCTACCAAGAAATTATTTTGATATCTTTTATGTGAATTGTCATTTGGAAATGGCATACCACGAAATTCTTTTAAAGACATTCTATTTTAATTAAGCAACTTTTCAATCTAAATTATATTAGACATAAATTCTTTAAGTCTTCTCGTGAGATTATAAATTCTGCAAAAAAAATCATTAGAAAAGTTTATTTATATACAGTACACGATTAAAGAGTTTTGTTTCCATATGGATTAATATGTTTGAAACTAACTTTATATTGAAATACCTTGATTTTTGGTTTTCATGTTGGTAAAACTAAACTGATCTGGAATTTTGGTAAACCATAAATTTGGTAAAATATTTTATGTACTGAATATCAAACTAAAATATTTTGGTTTTTTATGGTAAAGACCAAAAATATTTCTCGAAAACCTGAACATAATAAGTAAACAATAATTTCAATACAATTAGCTGTATATTTTTTAAATAAAAAATAAAAATTTGTGAGTATAATCTCTAGCAGTTACATTAAATAAAATTATAATTTTTTCTAAACACATTATTGTTATTATTATATATTAAACAAAACAATAATTCCAATATCATATGTCCTTTAAATTCTCCAAATTGAAAAAAAAGATTTGTCTATTACATAAAATATAAGCACTAGTTTTCTCCAACACATTATTGTCGCTAGCCTATATTAATTATTTTACTTATTAATTTTCAAAAAAGCATAAAAATGTTTTTTTAACTTAATATTACTTTGGTATTTGATTTATATTGAATTACCAATAAATTAAAGTTAAAACCAAAATTTTAGAAAATGAAAACCTAATGTCGAAGTACAGAAGTAGGGAGCTAAAATCTCTTGTGTCGTTCTTTTCATTTCTCTTTATTTTCCTTGCTCTTTTTTCGCTTATCTTTCCGCTAATGTTTTTGTTTTGCGAAAAACTTTCAAACACTCTAATTCACCGTCCTCTTAGGGTGTTACCAAATATCATCAAGAACCATTCATTTTACGAACGGAGCACCATAGGCATTTCGGTTAGAGTTGTTGTCATATTATGACAACACCCCTTGTTGTTAAAAGAAATGAGCTCCACTTTTCTTTTTGACAACAAAAAATAATGTACAAGAACTTCAATTGGAGTGCCTGCGTTACTCCGATCGTAAAATTGATTGTTCCTTCGTCCTCCCTAATCCCACAGTAAACCCCCCACCCCGACCCGCCCCGAACCAATCCCTCAACCCCTTCAATATTATTCCCCAACTTTATTTGTCTTTTGGGTCAAATTTTTTCAAACCTAAAGTCAAATAAATTTGGGGGAATAAAACTGAAGGGGTTTGGGGGATGGATTCGGGGCGGGTTGGCGTGGGGAGTTTAATTGGGGGTTAGGGAGGTTTAAACCATTAGTTTTACGATTGGAGCACTGTTGGTACTCTATTTTTATTTGGTCAAGACATTGTTAGATTATATATATACAGTTTTTTTCAAATAATATTAATAAAAAGTATTACTTCTTTTGTTTCTTTATTTTTAATTTGTTACATGGATTAGAGGGTGTTTGGCAGTGTGCTGCTTTTAATCATTTCAGCTTCTGCTTTGAGTAGACACGACTCCTTGAGTAGGTGCTATATTAATTATTTTATGAGTAAAATAATTAATATAACATTTATTCAAATAACATTACTAAAAAGTATTACTTCTTTTGTTTCTTTATTTTTGTTACATGGATTAGAGGGTGTTTCACAGTATGCTGCTTTTAATCATTTAGCTTCTGCTTTGAGTAGACACGACTCCTTGAGT